AATGAAAGCGCTGAATCCCGCTCAAATCTGGATTGGTGTAGATCAGCGACTTGAAAGTGTCGAAAAAAGGCAACCATTTGTCGAATTCCCCGTTAAATTCTGGAAAATTTATCTTTGGTAGTTGTACACCAGCACATGCCTCCACACGTGTATTAGTGGAGGTAGAAGGGGAGGGTGAGGGAGTGGTGGATGGCAACTTCGCTTTCAACCCTGCCCATACCTGTAAGTACAACTCCTCGAACTCTGACCGAGTCTGCTTGTGTTGATCCGCGTTCTCCTCATGTTCCTCCATTTCCTCTATTTGCATCTGGACGTCCTCGAATTCCTCCCATTTCTCGTCTAATTTGTCCATGCGAGGTTGCACCTGTAGAGCATGAATAGCCGGATCGTATTGCTTCAGAAACCACGCCGTGCGATGGAGAAAGTCCACGATATTGTCCCGCACTTGCAGTTTAGGCTTCAGCTTCTTCCCCATAGCGTATCAGTGCGGCGGCGAAACTGTGGAAAGTACGAAGCACAGCACCACAAAACAGAGGGATACAATTATTGGAGAGAGGCCTTGTATTTATTTATCTCCCAACAGGATTCTCCGTCTAGAGTCCACTACAAATTCTGAGGCTTTTGGCGATAACCTCAGCAGCTTGCGGTGATTTCCAACGTAGCAGAACTCATCCAATGCAGAAACCGAGAAGCAAGAAATTGGTTGCAATATATCCGTCGAAGCAGTAAAATATCAGCTCAGTACTCACCGGGTGAGCCTGGTTCGATAGGCCATGTATTGCAACCGTATGTATCAAAAAACGCGCCTCCGGTAACAAGCTATACGCTGAATCGTCAATGCACAAGACCACCGTTTTGATCTTATAATCCAGTACCAGACTCTCGGTCGAATCTGTCGCCTAATCGATCACCAGTGAACTCAAATTTATCGTGACCATCCAACAATAGCAATCACTTAGCGAGGTTGTATTATTTGTCCCAAGCGAAGTGTGCGATACAAAGACCACACCATCCAACAGTCACGAAAGCAAAAGGGTTGATGAACTGTTCTCCAGGACGTTGCTACTGAAAACGTTAAGCACTCCGTGCACAAAAGCTTTGGCGAACAATTCGATTGGATGAAACAACACGTTTGGACAAAAAATGGTGTCCAATAAGCAACTACCCGCGGCACAATCCTGGTCACGGCACCAATGTTCGGACCCTTCAAGAACGCACCTTGGGCACCCGTTTTGCTGCAAACTTCTGTTTCGGACTTCGTTATAAAGTCTCGCTTATGGCCGTGGAATTGTCGAGAAACGTTTTTGAAAGAAAACACTCGCGAAACTGTATTTTTCTAATTTTACGACAACGGTGACCGATCGACTTGTCGTTTTTATTGGTACTGACTTAGGCAAAAAACCTATCAACAAAAAATACAATATGTGTGTAGATCTAATCGAGAAGCGTTACAATTCAGTATCAATAGCTTTCCCGTGTAGACATCCAAGAGTCAGGCGTCCTCAAGAAATCAACCAGGACGAAAGAAGGACAATACGCCAGCATTCAGACTGGAGGATTTCCCGCCGCTTCCTGCTACGCAACACGGTCAAGCAAATCCACGGGTGCAATCCGGCCCCCGCCAAGAAACATCTGGTGCCTCAGCTGGACAAAGCTCTCCATCCCCCCCTGGATTCTGGAGACAACCACCAGCACAAAACGCCAATCCCGATCTCTTCTCTGCGGATGAGCTGATGAAGATTTTCGGCGACATGACCAGCGCTCTTCGTCAGTGCCGCAGCAAGCCCGAACAGATCCAAGTGCTCGGTAAGTTTATTATTCAAGTATGGTGTCTAAACCGATAACTGTCGTCACATGGAACACATGCTCTGTAAGAGCAAAAAGACTCGAGCTTGCTGACTTCCTCCGCAAGCATAGTATCGACGTGGGCCTCCTAACAGAGACCCATCTTAAATCCGGTGACAGCTTTTGGTTGCCTGATCACCACATTATCCGGCTTGATCGTATTGACTCCAGGGGGGGGGGGGGTGGTGTTGCGATCATCATCAAGAAAGGAATCAAGTTCTGCACGCTGCCGCATATTCGCACTTCTATCATCGAGGCGCTTAGTGTGGAGGTGGAATCACCAACCGGAAACGTCCGGTTCGTCGCCGTATACTGCCCTCGTCAGTGTGCTGCCAGTAATGGATTGGGCATCCAATTCAAGCATGATCTGACCGCCATCACTCGCACGAGCTCACGAATCGTCATTGGGGGCGATTTTAATGCCCGCCACGAAGCATGGCGGAACTATCAGCGAAATCAGAACGGACGTCTGCTCTTCGACCACTCGCAGCATGGGCTGTATACAGTGAAATTCCCTGATGAACCGACATTCATCTCTCCGACGGGAAACCCTTCCACGTTGAACTTTTTTCTATTGAACATTGGACTATCCAAACCGATGGCGATCAACGATCTCAGTTCCGACCATCAACCGGTGGTGGCTGAAGTCGGCACCCACGTGGCACCTGCTCAAAGCCTGCGCAAAGACTACCATCATGTCAACTGGGTGCAGTTTGGGCATGTGGTCGACAGAAAAATCGAAGAAAATCCGCCGCTTAACACCGTAGAGGACATCGACCGGGTACTGGAAGGACTCCACCAGGCCATATCCGTGGCTGACGAGACGTGTGTTCGACAAGTTCCTGTGAGGGGTAAGTTTGTTGCCATTGATTTCCACACCCAATTACTGATTCGCTTGAGAAATGTGCGTAGACGCCAGTTTCAGAGGACTGGAGATCTAGCGAGGAAACGTGAAATGGCCGATCTGAACAGGCAGATTGCTACCAGAATGGACTCACTCCGAAATGAAAGTTTCGGACGTGTTGTCCAGAATCTGGATGACCGCTCCCGTCCATTCTGGAAGGTAGCCAAGGTGCTGAAAACTCATCCCAAACCCGTTCCACCTCTCAGAGTCGGAAATGATGACAATCGACTCATAACCCCACAAGAGAAAGCAAATGCGATTGGTAATCATATTGCTGCATCGCATTTGCTTGGCTCAACTATCCAAAGTCCGCTCGAAAACCAGGTGACGCAATGCGTCCAAAATGTAGATGACTCCCCTTGTGCCGTGCCTCCGGAGGATAGAATTACGGTAGAACAGATTTGCTCAGCGCTGAAATATTCAAAGAATATGAAGGCCCCCAGTTTTGACGGCGTATTTAACCTTATCATAAAAAGGCTTAGCATGAAAGTCTATGCAGTTTTAACTGCCATCTTCAACAGATGCTTGGAGCTGCACTACTTTCCAAGCATCTGGAAGATAGCAAAAATACCGATCCGCAAACCCGGTAAAGATCCAGCATTGCCATCAAGCTACAGACCGATCAGCCTGCTCTCAGCGCTGAGCAAATTGTTCGAGAAACTCATTCTCAATAGATTGCTCAAGTTTGTGGAGGAAAACAATATTCTCCTTCCGGAACAGTTTGGGTTCAGGAAGGGGCACTCCACCACCCATCAGCTAGTACGGGTGATGAACAACATTCGAAGTAACAAGGCTGTATCCAAGTCCACAGCCATGGCCTTGCTAGACGTCGAAAAGGCGTTTGACAATGTCTGGCATGACGGACTTATATACAAGCTTTGTAACTACAATTTACCGTTGCATTTGGTCAAAATTACCCGTAACTACCTTCAGCAAAGGTCGTTCAAGGTATCGTTGAATGGTTGTCTCTCCGATAAATTTTCCATCCCGGCAGGCATTCCGCAAGGCAGTTTGTTGGGCCCCTTGCTGTACAGCTTGTATACTTCTGACATTTCTCCCCTCGTAGACGGTTGCGTGTTCTTCCTGTTCGCAGATGATACCGCGATATCAGTCAAGGGCAGAATGCCTCGCGAAATTACAAACAAACTACAACGATGCCTTGACACCTTTGCTGACTATGCAAAAACTTGGAAAATCAAAATCAATGCCTCCAAAACCCAAACTATCATGTTCCTCCATAGACAATCACCCAAACTGATACCGGCACCTTCTTGCACAGTAGTCATGGATGGCACAAGGGTTGAGTGGTCTGCTGAAGTTACGTACCTTGGAATGGTATTCGATGAGAAGCTCCTGTTCCGCTCGCATATAGAAAAGACGTTAGTTAAGTGTTCAAGCTCAGTTAGGTGTTTGTATCCGCTGATTTCTCGCAGATCCCGCCTCTCTAAGGTTAAAAAACTGACTGTCTACAATCAAATCATAGCACCTGCAATTTTCTACGCTGCACCGGTGTGGGAATCATGTGCACAGACTCACAGGAACAAAATCCAGGTCGCTCAGAATATAGTGCTGAGGATGGTTCTTGATCGTCCTTTCGACACTAGAATAACAAATTTACATGAAGAGGCAGGCATTGCCAAAATAGATTCCAGAATAAACGAAATTAAGACTAAATTTGCACAAAAATGTAATGTATCAGAACATGCTTTGATAAGCAATTTGTATATAGTAGGTTAGGTGCATATAGTAGTTGTAGGTTAGTTGTAGTTGTAAATAGTAGTTATAAGTAGTTTCCCTTTTCCAATTTAAAACAAACCAATCCCACCAAGGTGGTCATTCTTAAAAACAGGCCTGATAGGACTAGAAACTTTAAATAATAATTAAAAATTTCAAATTAACTTAAGTTGAAAAGACGCATCTGTGTCACTTGTTAATTCATACATGTAAAACCACACAAATACTAGAAATAAAGATCATTTAAAGTCAATAAGACATCCAACAGAGACAACCGAAAGCAATAGAAGTTATGCTACACCCGGGGGGCGCTCGGAAGGAACGCATCTGAAGGTTTTTTGTAATGCACCTAACAAGTTCTATATGGGTTTTTATCTCAAATCAGTTATCCATTAGAATTGATTGTAAACTGCTGGCATTTCACATTGTGAATTAAAATTTACACGTAGACATGGATTGCTATTCTTCCAGAAGAGACTGATATGCTTTTATATGCAGCCCAATTTACTCCACTCACCTGATTGTTATTACCCGTCACCGGTTGCTTCGGCCGCCGTCGATGTATCCGTCGCCGTGCGGTCTGGTAAATCTTCCAGTACAGCACTAGAATAACTAACAGAGGAACATAGAAGGTGCAACACGTTGCAAAGATCTGCAATGAAGCGAGAGAAGAAGAAGAAAAAAACGGACGTTTGAAAAAGTTCCGGACCATGATTTGAACGATAAAACGATAATTACCGCCCGATTTAAATAGTAGGTATATAGCTAAGGACATACCTGGTACGCGATGTCCTGCGAAACCATGCACTTTTGCTGCTCTATTCGTTGTAGGTAGTCCGGGTCCTTCCAGCCGAACTGCGGCGCCAGTGACACAATGACCGAGGCGAACCACACCAGGAAGATCATCGTGAATACCCGGCGGCTGGTGCGGGAGTGCATGTAATCGATATTGGTCACCGCCCAGTACCTGCGGCGATTCCCGGGGTGGTAGCATTTCCGTGGGGTAGAGGGAGAAAACGGGGAAGATAACCGATGAGCGTGAAATAAATTTTCAATTTTACATTCCGGTCGGTTTGCCACTGAGTCAACTTTGTTGGCGAAGGTGGAAAGCGAAGGGTTTGTTTTAGAAGATTGATATATTGAGTGGATTATCTTTGACATTACTGTTTGACTTTAAATTTAATGGCGATGTTCTAAGCAGAATATTTGTGCCGAAAACCATCGAAAGCGATAACCGTTTTCGATCGAGACCACCGATAATGAAGTATTAAATTGTGTTATCCTTTGAAAATACCCTCAGCACAAAAAGGATTCCAATTCCAGCTGTCGTTGCAGCAATAAATAATTTGCAACAAAATGTAAAATGTTTTATTCAAAGCGGTTCTCGGAAATTCCCATCATCAGAAGCGCTCCAACCGATACCGTTGTCGTCCCTTTGCTGATTCCCAATTCACGCAGCCGAAACGAAAAAAAGGTTATCGATACTGCCTCATCCGTTAATCCGATTTGCCTGCCGTCGTTTCAGCGTACCAGATGTTCGGAAAAAGGACCTGGCAGCCGAAGCCCCCCTCCTGGTGGCGACTCGACTAAAGTTCATCTAAATTAGATTTTCCATGACGGAATTTGCATAAATTGATAGCGGGTTTGTTTCACATCGGTGGGTTTTTTCTTCTTCTGTCTGTATGTTGACGGTCTGGTGGAGGTCATCTGAACGCAAATTCACAGTTTGGAATCAGACACAGAAGCTACGACCCATTAAACAGCGTACCCAAGCGAAATGTGCTAGAACGAGGATTAGCCCCGCGTCTCAGCGATGATCTTTTTTCTGTTTTCATGAAATTAATTTCCTGTGACATTTATCCTCAGGCTAACAGTTTTCAACGCAATGAGGGTTGGACAGAGAACTTGATTTCTCATCATCTTAGAGGGAATTGCATCAGGATTAAAGAAGCAGAGATGACGTCCAATGATCTCCGCAACCGGTCGGAGGTATGAGTGGATGCATCATTTGACTTGTTTCAATTCTTAAGATCGAAGGTTGGTTAACCTCGAACAGACGTGGCCGGTATGCAGACGCCAGTGAGAGAAGCGCCGTTGTTTCGAATAATGAAAATGGGGTCAATTCCGATGGGACTATTGTAGAATATTCATCTTTTCAGAGAGCTGAATTTAATATTTATTTGGTTTTAAATTGCATCTAAATTGATGGCCCTGAAATCTTCATAAAGTAGAGGGAAAATATGGAAGGGGTCCTGGATACTATACAAATAGTATTCAATCGACCTCATGGGTGCACCAGGGCACTATGGGCCAACTATCGTGGCACAAATAATAAAAATCGATTCAATCGGCATCACATTGGATTCTTTAAAATATTTAAAAATCGAGGAACAAAACGTTCTGGCAAAATTTTCAAAGACAACCCAGTTTAAGACCCTTACAATAATTTCTGTGCCAAAATTTTTTTCTTAAATCTCTGTTTTTAGAAGTTTAAAAAATTAGTCAAAAGTTATTCTTTTAAAAACAAATTGTCAATTTTGAAGCGTCCAAGTTAAAATTTTCAAGAAAGTCAGCATGTTTTATAAAACATTCAATTTGAATTTGCTTCCATTTGCTGAATAATGATCGAAAATCGGTTAAGTAGTTAAAAACTACTAGGGCTAGCCCTATGGGATTGTTCGCAATGGTGACGTAGGACTACGTAGTCTTATATAATAAATGGTATATGTTAACTGCAGCAGGAGCTTGTGTTTTGTATATAGGAATAGGAATTTGAGTGGGGTTCTCTCTGTTTATAATCTTAAGTATGACGCGCTTGGCATAGATGGCCCACAGCGACTCACGAAGAGCTACTGATTCCGATCAATAGCGGTGCGGCTTCTTTCTCATTCTATGGATGCTCATGTGGGCTGCAGCTCGCTGCTTGCAGGCAGCCTTTCGTTGTGTACTGGAGAACACCACCACTCACCACGCGGTGATTGAATAAACACCGTTCGGTGAGACCGGATCGAATTCAACTTTGAAATCTGTGTTAGGGAAATCGCTTTTCCCAGGCAATCGGTGAAAATTTTAATTTTCATAGCAACAGTTACACATTCGTGCAATTTTCAGTAGTGACATTTTGAAAAATGATAGTCTTAATTTTAACAGAATCGTAAAAAAAAATCCTATCGATTGGCGTATTAAGAATTAAAATCCATCATCTCTGGATCAAAACAAGACCACTTTTATGCCGCGACCGACTTTGGTTTTTCAAATTTGCACACCCAATCTTGCCTTCAAAAACATGGTTTGTTAGAGAGTTGGTTGGAAATGCTAACATGAAGCTTTAGTGTGATGATTTATTAGCTAGTGTTCCTTTTTCAGAGGAATAATTGTTTTGCTAGGCTCATTGCCGAAAACATATCCAGCGACCGAGTGTTCTTCGGGTTAAAGTTTCACAACTAACAATATTGCATGCACAAAACACAGTTTATTTTTCTTAAATTACACTACACTCATTTAATCAAACTTTATTTTTGTAACTTAACTAAACACTAAACAAATAATTAATTATCTTCATCGTTTGCTGAAGATTGCGACATAGATTGTCGGCGCGATGAATTTGCGGGCTACGCACCCAGCTGCGACGGTGGATTGATGTGCACTGACTCGTCCTATGGTGTATTGTTTTTCCCTTCGGTGCCGATGCTGTAGAGAGATGACATCGCGAATAGTGGTATGTTCCGTACAGTCGATGTGTGGGATATCGATCGGTGATTGTCCATTGCGTTGTGTTGCTAAGTTGGTGGTGGAGCGTTCATCGGTCACAGATTCGAGGACAGACGTATTGATGGTGTCGAACATCCTGCCCTCTGCAGAAATAACTATTTCTGGACCCTCCGGTATGAGAGCCTTGCTTCCCATAGACCTCCAAAATGTGATCCACGAGGAGGATTGAAATGCCAGTGGATTCCTGAAGTCAAACATTCACTGGCGATGGAGTGGCGAAAGTCTTCGGAGCGCAACAGTCTTCGAAGCTCGTTAGCGGCACCGACGAAATTCTTACCGTTGTCAGTGTATACATCTGCGCACAGACCGCGACGAGAAACGAAACGACGGAAAGCTTGGAGAAATTTCGCCGTACTCAGATCAGCAACAAGTTCTAAGTGAACGGCCTTTGTGCTGAAGCACACGAACACTGAAACGTAGGCTTTTGTTGGTGCGTCTCTCAGTGACGAGGTTTGAGATAGATCGGCCCCCAAAAGTCGATACCAACGACGGAGAATGGCCGTGAAGCAGTGACACGCTGCGAGGGAAGTTCGGCCATGAACTGCTCGATGGCTTTGGGCTTTGCTCGTACGCACGTAACGCAGTTGTGAACAATGCGACGGGTAGTATTTCTACCTCCTAAGATCCAGAATCGTAGTCGGATGGTGTTGGTAAGAAGCTGCACTGCTGCGTGAAGAAAACGTTCGTGCAGACATCGAACAAGAAGCGTTGTAAACGGATGTGATCCTGGGAGCAGAATTTGATGTCGCGAATCGAAAGGTTGGGAAGAACGATCTATTCGTCCACCTATTCGTAAAATGTCGTCGGAATCGATCATCGGATGGAACCAACGGAGCCAAGAATGAGTTGGAACTGTTTGATTTGCTTTCACAGCTTTCAATTCTGCCGGAAAAGCGTCCTTCTGCACCAGTCGCACAAGATCTAATTCGGCGCTACGAATCTCCGAAGTAGAAAGCGGTGATGAGACGACTCGTTCAAATTTTGCCAGATGTAGATTTCTGAAGTACCGCCTCCAGTAGGCAGTAATCCATAGCATGTGCTGATAGTTGGAGAACCGACCGACGTACTCTTCGACGAAAGTAATCGAAGGAGATGCGGTAGCGAGTGATGTTTTCCTTGCTTCTTTTTCGGCTTCTGAATCTATGGCTTCATTAACTTGAACTTTCCACGATTCTTTGTCGTTTTGAAGCCATGGAGGACCTTCCCACCACTGTTTACACTGGAGCAAATCTCCTGCTGCTATTCCTCTGGAAATGATGTCAGCAGGATTCTCACAACCAGCGACATGGTTCCATTCACAGTTTTCTGTCATTTGCTGGATTTTTGAAACGCGATTGCCAACGAAAGTGGACAAGGTTGACGGTGTTGCCTTGAGCCAACATAGAACAGTTGTTGAATCAACCCAGAAGTACGCTTTGGATGTGATTCGCAGTGCAGCGGATACCTTACGATAGAGTTCAGCAGCTAACAATGCACCACACAGCTCCAAACGTGGAATGCTTTGTTGCTTGAGTGGTGCCACCTTCGATCGAGACGTGAGCAGAGCAACCTTTACTTCCCCAAAGCGTTCGTTGATCTGATGTACGCACATGTTCCATACGCGGCTAGAGAGGCGTCCGAGAAGAAATGGAGTTCGGCAGAGATAGAATCAGGGAGCAAAATGAATCGATTGATACGCAAGTCATTCAAACGAGGCAGTTCGGAGCAGTATTCGATCCAACGGCGTTTCATATCTTCTGGCAATTCCTTGTCCCAGTCGTACGGCTTGTCGTTGTCATCCTTAAGACCCCATAACGATTGCATAAAAACTTTGGCAACGACTACAACAGGTCCTACCAAACCGAGTGGGTCAAACAACTTGGCTATGCAGGAAAGAGAACTGCGCTTCGTAATTATTGTATCAGCGTCGACGGCAGCTTCGGGAGCAATGTATTTTAACTGGTCGGAGCACGGCTCCCAATGCAGGCCAAGAGTTTTTATTGACTGATTTTTATCGAAGTTCACCAGAGGTTTTAACGCTCGATTCTCTGGAGGAATTCCATCAAGCACTTCCGGACAGTTACTCGCCCATTTCCGAAGTTGCATCCCAGCTGAATTCAACATGGCGTCCATCTGCTTTCGCAGTTCAATGGCTTCGGCGACAGTACTTGCTCCGGAAAAGAAGTCATCTACGTAAAAATCTTCGCTGGCTGCGCT